TTCGGCCTGGGGAATATCATCAATTTTTGGCAGCCATGATAATCGCACATCTGTTAAAGAGAATTCTACTAGCAAGCCATTTAGTGAACCTGTTCAGAGCGTGGAGCATAGCTTTTCGGTCATTCATCTGAGAGAGGTATGTTCATGGGGTATCCTCTCCAGAATATTTGTTCGATTTGGTCTATGAGATTTAATGTCTTTGTTACTGCGCTAACAAGTTTCTGTACTGTTTTTCTTGAAGCCCCCTGCTGTCTTGAGGCCTTCAGAAACTCATTCAGAGGATGCTATTGAGATTGCTATTACGAAGCTCTTATTAAGGTCATATTATGACATTGTTCGGAAGAACATTGAAGATTCTGTACCTAAAGCAATTATGCATTTTCTGGCAATTGGTTATTGTTAACGTGAACTTTCTATTTCCTTCTTTTGTTTTGCTATCTTTTAAATTTCTAGCCATGGATTTGACAACCACAACCTGTAGCATTCATATTAAGTGAACCCGCATCAATCCCACCCCACAAAAAAATAAAAAATAAAAAAGAAGATATCTAACTCCGTCCCATAATGATAGGCTTGTTTCTATTTTCACATAGATTAAGAAAATATAATTAATTTAGTTGGAATATAAAATTTCTTACAATTTTCCTAATATACCCCTACATTAAATAATGTTTTAAATAAGATTAATTATATTTGTTGATAACAAGGTACATTAAATAGAGGTTTATTAGAAATCTTAAAAAATATCATGCTTTCAATAAGGAAAGTGGCTTATAATTTGGGATAGACAAAAAAGGAAACCAAGTCTATCTTTATGAATGGAGGTAGTATGTTTGAATTTGAAGTCGTGTTTTTTTATCAAATTATCTTTTTTGTTTTTTTCCTTTGAAAAAGAGATGATTATTCATCTTAGATGTTTACCTTGAAAGAGTCTGCAGTCGAACTTCTGCATTAAAAAATGTAAAGCTGTCAGTAATACTTTTGTGGTTTTTCTATCATTGTTGTCTCTTTGTGAATAATTAAATTCCTGATTCATCTTTCTGTGTCCTCTATTCCAAAAATAATTTTATGAGTGCCATTTGATTTTTTTATTCATCTTATAGGTGAATCACACCAAACGGGAGCTCCACAATGTTTTCATCAAAAAGCTTTACAGGTATATTTTTAGGATTTTATTAGTTTGGTCCATAGAATGTCCAAATGGAATTTCTGAATAGTACTTGCATCTTGGTGTGTATGAAAGAGAGCAGTGACGCGTACCGACATAAATTGTTATGCTCACGCTACTGTTCTTTATGGAGCAGGGACAACTTGTTCGAAGAGATGTTACAGGAACCTGACGAGGTAGCAATGAAAAGAAAGCGTACTCGAGAAACCCTCAAGGTTCTACAGCAAGCTTTCCGGGTAAGTGCATGATTCTTGAATTCCATAGAAGCAAACACGTTGAGGTTGTCATCTGTATGTCTAATTTCGTCTTACATAGTAGCAAAACCACTATCTGGTTCTTTCAGGAATCTGGATGTGCATATTTACAGCATGTTTGGCAAATAAGCCATGGGCCCACAAAGTATTCTGGGTTCAAATAAGCCCAATAAGTAAGGTACCTTGTATGTATCTTATTTTGTGTAGGACCCACTCCCCATGCATTTTGATAGAACATTCGTTGTGGGACCCATGTCTTATAAGCCATAGGCTTATTTGCCAAACATGCTGTGGAAATCAGCATGGCTGATCACATGTTTGGTTGTTTTCTTCCCTTTTTTTCCTTTCGAAGTTTACCTTTTGAGGTGATTGTTAATTGAAATTTGCTCCATTGATTATTTATTTCATTCTGACCTTGATTGAAATCTAAGTACACACACACACACACATACCCCGATTGCCTTGCGAAAACATTATTGGAGATCTTTGGTGGGCAGAAATTTTTAGTTAGGCAATAAACATGCTTGCTGTGGGTGGAACGTTACAAATTTTCTTATTGTTTTCTTCTTTCCCAAAAGGACTTGGACTTTGTCTCGAATTTGTGTTTTTCTGGTCCTGCATATCCTCTTACATCAAGTTCTTCATAGTCCCAAAGACTTCTTGTGTGATCTGTCTACTTTTGTATGTAGACATTGGACGAACTACCGCTTGAAGCTGATACAATCGAGAGGGGCTACAGCTTAAATACTGATCCAACAGGACTGCCTAAAATTCATGGGCTTCCAACCGCGTCTCTGTATTCTACTACCAGTGGTTCGAGTGAATCATACACTTCTCAGTCCAAAAATCCCAAATCCCGCAAGTCGTCCCATTCTGGTGAACTACACTCACCATTTTATGGAAATGCAGATTCTAATGGTGGAGGATGAAATTCTATTCCAGGCTTTTATCCAACAATCGATGCATAAGTTACTGACAGGATGCATCATGCCAAGTTTTTTATTTTCACATTCATTTGACGACTGTCCAGCTTTCTTGCTAGATGGAAGACCATACTTTGTGTGGTGGTGTTTTGGAAAGTTAGTATTCTTTCAGATGATGAGTAAAATTTACTGTATTTTTCTCCTCGACATGGTTGATTATGTACGTATGGCTTATCAGAAGTTCCAATAAGAATAGAAGCATTTGCTTCCCTCCTTTTGAGATGTCAATTCGTGCAACAAAGCTTGTAAATAATCACTCGAAACATTGAAGGGGCTATACCCACCCTAAATATATTTTCAATCTATTTTATTTATTTTTTTAATCTCAAAATTATTATCTTAATGAAGATAATTGAATAGTTTCTGCATCTATTCCTTACATTCTTGTTCAGTCCCCTTTGGCACAAGGCTTGGGATCCTATTATAGACACTGTATTACGAAGGTTTTGTGACAAAAAATTACTATTTTTTATTTTTATTTTTCGTATTTATGATTTATGTTATTTGATGTTGGACAGTAATGATAACGAATTTAGTAGATTAAAGGAAAACCAATTTGCTATTTAAATGGCCATTAATGACTTCAAATATTGTGGCACACGAATATTGGTCAGTCATATCTAGTATTGTGATATTGTTGTGCAACTCTCGAAACCCTTACTTTCATTTTGAATTAATTAGCATATTATTGCTCTTGGTACCCTCGATATCATTTTGAATTATTCACATATTATTGCTCTATGATTATCAAATTGCAATCGATAGTATGACATTGTAAAACATATTTAAGGAAATGGGTAATATTAGTTAACACCAAGCTAGTTATCATTAAATGATAGATCTAGTAAAGTAAATTTGTTGTAACTTACAACTAAGTTTTAACCTTTCAACATTTAACCTATTTAATTTTATGTTTTTATTTATTTAATAATCACTTTTAACACAATTAAAACTTCATAATTCTTGTAATAACCTCTATTTTAACAACTTAATTGTTGGGGAGGGGGGGGGGTTAGTTTTCACCTATAAAAGGTGGTTACATCTAATTGAAAATGAGAATAAGAATCGCAACTTGAGTTACAAAGAAAAACAAAATGCTACATCCACATCCACATCCTATACTATATTTCTTTAACCACTTGAATATACATTTTACGTTCATGCATTTTTGACAATTCGATAAAGGTTCATTCACTTATCTCTCTATGGTCGTGCCCATATAAAGAAAGTCACATGAATTTTATTTTGGAGCCGTGTAGTACTAAAAGAATTCGCACGAAGGGGAGGCAACACGACTTTAGGACAGCGTCTTCAACGTAACTTCCAATGTTTGTTTTCTAAATCTCTTCTCTATTTTATGTTATATTATTCTAGAATTATATTTGTTATTTTATTATGTCAGTTAATAATAAGTCTGCACACAAATCACCCAAGTTTTTCCAACAATCTAAAGTCGTGTTGAGTGATTTGTGTGTAAATGAAACTTTTTCATGGGTTGTTCGATATGATTATGGAAGTTGTAAGATAGCAATTTTTGGATTGAACATCTTCACAAATATCTTGTACTAAGATGGTTGAATTCTGTGTAATCGTCAAGAGATAAACTAATTTACCATGTTTTGATGTTATATTAATTTTTGTGCATTCTAGGAAAAATCAAATCCAAATACATACCAAATGGTACACGAATATTGGTCAGTCAAGTCTAGTATTGCGATATTGCTGTGCAACTCTCGAAACCATTAATTTCATTTTGAATTAATTAGCATATTATTACTCTCGGTACCCTCGATATCATTTTGAATTATTCACATATTATTTCTCTATGATTATCAAATTGCAATCGATAGTGTAACATTGTAAAACATATTCAAGGAAGGATTATTCTACTTGGATGTAATGGACACCATTATGGTGTCCATAATGTCCAAATGACGCTCCCCCC